CTCTAATAAATTTGTTAGTCTCTAAGGTGCCACAAGTACTCCTGTTCTTGTAACAGCTGTGTGACAACTACAACTCCCTGGGCCACTTCCCCATGACCTCCCCCCAGCACCTTCTTTGTCCTCACTGCAACACCTGATGCCTGATGGTGTTTGCATATTCCTCAGTCCTCCAGCAGCACATCCTCTCACTCCCAGCTCCTTACGTACCTCTCCCTAACTGAAGGGAGCTCTTTCTTTTTAACCAGGTGCCCTGACTAGCCTACCTGCCTTAATTGGTTCTAGTAGCTTCCTAATTGGCTCCAGGTGTCCTAATTAGCCTGCTTGCCTTAATTGGTTCTAGCAGGTTCCTGATTGTTCTGGAATAGTCCCTGTTATTTTACCTATGGAAAAGGGACCTGCTTAATCTGGGGCTAATGTATCTACCTTCCACCACTCTCCTGTAGCCATCTGGCCTGATCCTGTCACAAGCTCCACGGGTGGAGATGGGGGTGTGTGCAGGGGCATTGCCCCCCCAAACTATGTATGTTAATAAAAAATTACTAATATTTTCTATGCACCTGTGATTTCTTACATCGGGGCGAAGCCAACTGGAACCCAACTGTCTCCCCTATGTCTGCCCCTCACAGCTGGTAGCTGTGTGATCGGGATTTGAAGATGATGCAACAATATGCAACTGCCTCATTAGCGGCTAGCTATTTCCAATTGACTTAGGGTATGTCTATACTACCCGCCGGATTGGCAGGCAGCGATCGATCCAGTGGGGGTCAATTTATCACGTCTAGTCTAGACATGATAAATTGACCCCCGAGTGCTCTCCCGTCGACTCCTGTACTCCACCGGGGCGAGAGGTGCAGGCGGAGTCGACGGGGGAGTGTCAGCAGTCAACTCACTGCAGTGAAGTCACCGCAGTGAGTAGATCTAAGTACATCGACTTCAGCTACATTATTCAGCATAACTTACATCGATTCCCCTCTCCCCTCCCCCCTCCCCCCCCCGTGTAGACCAGGTCTTAGATGACATGTTAGTGTGTAAGAGTGGTGATACTGTGGTGCAAACAGACACACACATGAAGAGCTGAGTTACCAACAATTTCAGAAACATACTCCCAAATATTGCTATCTATACATTACAACAAAGAGCGCTCAAATGCATGGCTAGGCTTTTATACAGTTCGGTGTTGCTGGTAGGTGGTGCCACATCTTTGACACCATCATTGGTACTTCCTTCCGTACAGCATGAGTACTACTTTAAAACATTGCAACGAACCTTTTAATGTTTAACATCAAGTGAAATAACTTGATGGTCTTATCCAAAAGCCAGGAAACATAAAATGGACCTTCAGAAGTTTTTTTGTAAAAGCTACTGTGGAAGCATCGGCGCCTGTGCCACAGCAGGATTTCACAGCACCTCCAGCCCGGGCCCTGTCACCTCCTGCCTCAGCTCTAGACACTTTATCGCAAGTACTGCAAGGGATTCTGAGTATAGGTTCTCTCAGCACAGGTCTGACTGAAGATGACATGAGAACCTAACTGTTCCTATAGGTCTCAGCAACAAAAAAAATAATTAATTGGCCTAATCAACCACATCTGCCTGGTTTTCAAAGGAGAATGTTTGGGAAGCACAACTGTTCTTTTTCAGTTTTCCATTACAAAAAATTTCCTTGGGTTGAATGAAATATTCAACAAGATGCTGTATTCTGCTTCCCATGCCATAGCTTCCACTCTAAGAAGGACTATGGATAATTCAGGTAATCAAAAGAGGTGTGCAGAACTGCAAAAAAAATCTCTGAAAAATTGTCTTTTTAACATGCTATTTCCCAGGTTCATGTGAAATGTATGGAAAAGTGGCAATGCTTCAAACACAGTGAAGAAGCAAGATCAGTAGTAGTGAAGCTTTCAGTAGGGTTACCATACTTCCGGATTTCCCTGGACATGTCCGGCTTTTTGGTGCTCAAATCCCCGTCCGGGGGGAATTTCCAAAGAACCGGACATGTCTGGGGAAATAGGGAGGCATAAGCCAGGGTCCGCCCAGCACGATCCGCCGGGTCCGCAGCGCAGCCCAGCTACAATGCTCAGGCAGGGAAGGGGGGGGGGGGCTCGGGCTTCCCTCGCGGGCGGGGACCCCCCGGGCACTGGGGGACCCTTCCTGTGGCCCCGTTGCCCTGCGCAGCTCAGAACCCGGCGCCACGGGAGCTGTTTCCGGTGGGCACAGACAGGCCGGGGAACGTGCTCGGCAGCAGGAAGGAAGCTGCAGCCGGAGCTGCAGGGACCGGCACCGCTGAGCGTCTGAAGCCCCCAGCAGGCAGAGGCTGCCAGGGGAGCGAGGGAGCAGGGGCGGGCGGGGGCATAGAGGCTGCAGGGGCGGGGGGTGCAGGGCGAGTGAGGAGCAGGGGTCACAGAGGCTGCAGGGGCAGGAGGTGCAGGGGCAGAGCAGGCGGGGGTGCAGAGGCTGCAGGGCGAGTGGGGAGCAGGGGTCACAGAGGCTGCAGGGCGAGTGGGGAGCAGGGGTCACAGAGGTTGCAGGGGTGGGGGTGCAGGGGCTGCAGGGCAAGTGAGGAGCAGGGGTCTCAGAGGCGGCAGGGGCAGGGCAGGCGGGGGGAACGGAGGCTGCAGGGCGAGTGGGGAGCAGGGGTCTCAGAGGCTGCAGGGGCGGGGGGGCTGCAGGGCAAGTGGGGAGCAGGAAAGCACTTAGCAACCCCCAACAAAGATCAGAGCGGAAGGGAGGAGGGGGAATGCAGGGTGCTTAGAGGAGGGGGCAGAGTTGGGGCAGGGACTTTGGGGAAGGGGCGGGGCCAGGGGTGGGGAAGGGGCGGAGTTGGGGCAGGGCCAGGGCCCCTGTGAAGTGTCCTCTTTTTTCAGTGTTGAAATATGGTAACCCTAGTTTTATACAGGATGTCACAATAAATGATCACATTGGTTCCCTCTGACCTTGGAATCAGTGAATCTATAGTGAAAATAGAGCCTTCATCTTTAAGACCATAAGTTCAGCTCCTTCCTATAGAAGTTTTCAGACAGCTTGCACTTATGTCTGGATCTTGCTGGTGTGCAGGGATTAGTTCCCAGGGCTGTATTCTACTTTAAGTTGTTAAATACTATTATTTGACAGACTGCTAGTTAAAGACAGACTGCTAAACACATTCATGTTATTGATAATACACCTAACTATTACTCTAGACATTTTAAACAGAAAAAACAAGTGCAGGGTACCTTCTTGAACCATTAGAGGTCACTGTTGTGTATGTAATGCCAACTTGCTTACACATTTCTTGCGAACACTACAGCAGGGTTGTGCTCAGAAAA